GAGGGAAGGAACGAGAGTTTAATGGAGACACAAACCTGCAGAAAGAGGAGCCCAGAGGTACACACACACACACACACACACACACACACACACACGCACACACACACTGTAAACAAATATACCAACACAGTACAGCTTTCAGGTGAGAGCTATAAAGATTTTATGTGGTGATAAAAATCTGCTGCACAGCTCAGCGGAGGAAAAGAACCGGAGCTGATTTTGCTTCTCAAACAAACTCAGAAAAAGAGAAATATGCAAATCTTCAATTTAAGTGTTGAGCTCCATGGAAAATATTATCAAACATTTTGACATCACTTTAACAAATCAGCATTTAAAAACAAATAAAAACAAAAAGTGAGATATAAAACTAACAAACTTTTATAGCTGTGAGAGGAGCCGGAGACAAATAAAAAAATAAATAAAAAGAAGATTCTGTTTCATTTTTGCACCTTCGCCCACTCACTCTCACACTCTTTGTTACACTTTATTTTAGACGAGCTCTCTGTTACATAACTGTTGTTCAGAAAAGACTAACTAAACGACATGCAAGAAGGATTGTAAGACAAACTCTGCATATTAACACACATACATATCAATAAAACACAATGCAAGCAAAGGTACAGCCGTGAGAAAGTCTGAATCACCGACCTGTCAGCTCCATCAAATGTAAAAAGAAGACATTAAAACATTTGTCAACAATGACATCACTTGTCTTATATTAACAATCAACAATCCCAAACATAAATATGTTCAATTAATAAATGACACAAAAAAAATGTTTTTTGAAGCTGAAAATTCCCCTACATTAATTCAACATGAACAGTTCCATTTCATGATTACTGAAAAATCGTGCGATATATGCTAATAATGTACTCAAAGGTCACATATTCTGTAAAATCCTCTTCTCCATGTTCCTCTAACTCTAACATGTGTCTCTAGTCTGTCTCCAAACCCCCCAATGATGAGAAAAGTCCATCTTCTCCATCTTCTGCCTGCTCCACTTTTCAGAAAATGTGTGCTCAAACAGGCCGTTTGGAGATTTTCCCTTCATGACATCACAAAGGGCAGTAGCCCCTCCCCCAGGTGGGTGACACTCCCCCACAGCTAGGTGTTTGTTCTGCCCTCTGAGTCTGCCTTCTCACCGTAAACAATAGGACATGGAGCAAGAAAGACCGAGTACACCCAAGCCCTTCCAGAGAGGGGGCGTGGTCAGACACAGCTCATTTACATATTTAAAGGTACAGACACAGAAACAGCCTGTTCTGAGCAGGGCTGAAATAGAGGGGTTTATAGACATGATCAAATACAGGATCAGAGTGGATTTAGAACAAGAAACTTCACACACATGTTTTGAGGAGCTCTGAGACTTATTTACACTGAAGAGGAGGAGGAGGATATGTGACCTTTAGACAAAAGATGTGAAACACTTGATTCAGATGATAGAAACTAAAATCTTTAGAAAGACAGAAACTATTCAGAAGAAGTTGTGTAACTTCATGTTTAAAAGCTTCTTACATGTTCTGTGATCTCAAAATATGTCAACAGCATTTCAACAACAAGACAGCAGCTGCTTGTTTGAGTGAAGAAATAATGTGTAGCCTTAAACCTTCAGACTGAAACACAGAGAGGCTGCACATTCACTCTGATGCTTTTTGTCCATCAGCTCCATCTGCCCTCGCCTCCATAATGAGGGATATTCCAGGCTGTAGTCCTCTCTCTGTTGATGCTGGGATTGTTGAGCCAAATGTTGCCTCTGCAGCTCCAGCACCGCTTCTGTTATTCTGGGACAGCAGGAGCAAATATTGAGCTGCATAATCGCATCGCACGAGTGCTGCTCTGAGGCCGACAACGCCCTCTTTATGATCTTTTTCCTTTTATTTCCATAAAAACAAAAACAAAACCCCCCTCTCAGAGAGGAAACCAACTGTTGAAGCAGCATGCTATCAAACATGACCAATGCATCAGCAGAAACATCTCACATTTCCTCATCGTGCTTGATTTTCTGCGTGCAGTTTGGTGATAATTCTCTGTTTGCCTTGTTTTCTGTGCGAGCGCTCTGCGGGGACATGTGGCCTCGGTGTTCGTCCACGCTGATGTCCGTTATTATTTGTAATCTTTTGATCTGCAGAGATGATAATAATCCTGCCACATGCCTCCCTGATTACCAATGCATAATGCTGAGGCTTTATTCTGCAGCCTCTCAGCGCTTTACATTTATGCAACAGGCTGCGACGAGCTGCAGCACAGAGAGAGAGAGAGAGCGCTCTACCCTCCAGGCTTAGTGATTTTAAAAGGTTTATATTTGTTCTTTATTCATTTACCTAATTGACCATCTGATTTAAGAACAGGACTCAGTCTGCTGGAAGCAGCCCGACCTGCGTATTTTTGGTAGTATTGAAATAATCATATTGAGACCGAACACTTGAGGATTATTAGACTAATAATCGTGTGCAACAAGCATCGAAGTGGGCCACGCCCCCCCCCCAATCTTTTGGAGAGGAGGGGGTCATATCGGGCCCTGAAATTGGTTCTTTAATCTTCTAGTGTGCAGCCAGCCTTAAAGGTCCAATCAGTGAGATGATAAAGGTATCTTACTATCTGATCAGACATTAAGGAAACATGCTATGTTGAAGTGCTGGCTTAATTATATACTGACGTGTGTGTGTGTGTGTGTGTGTGTGTGTGTGTGTGTGTGTGTGTGTGTGTGTGGCTCATCAACAGGTGTGTGTTTTTCACTGATTCTTCACTGCAGGTCGAGCAGGAGAGAGATCGATACAGCTCAGTCAGCTCATTGATCATTTAGTCCTCGGGGGCCATTTTCCAGACGACACACACACACACACACACACACACACACACACACACACACACACACACAAACTATCGATCCATAAACAGAAGGCAATGAAGAACATTAAAGACGATAAACTGTAGACAAGGTTACAGACGATGAAGAGGATAATAGAAAGATAAATAATAAAAACAATAACATGCTGCATTTCTACTTTTCATTCATCAGACGCCAACAACAGGAAGTGCAAACAAACAGCTTTAAGTGACCAGAGGTACTGACAGGAAGTGACCAGAGGTACTGACAGGAAGTGACCAGAGGTACTGACAGGAAGTGACCACAGGTGCTGACAGGAAGTGACCAGAGGTACTGACAGGAAGTGACCACAGGTGCTGACAGGAAGTGACCAGAGGAACTGACAGGAAGTGACCAGAAGTACTGACAGGAAGTGACCAGAGGTACTGACAGGAAGTGACCAGAGGAACTGACAGGAAGTGACCAGAAGTACTGACAGGAAGTGACCAGAGGAACTGACAGGAAGTGACCAGAAGTACTGACAGGAAGTGACCAGAGGAACTGACAGGAAGTGACCAGAAGTACTGACAGGAAGTGACCAGAGGTACTGACAGGAAGTGACCAGAGGTACTGACAGGAAGTGACCAGAGGTGCTGACAGGAAGTGACCACAGGTGCTGACAGGAAGTGACCAGAGGTGCTGACAGGAAGTGACCACAGGTGCTGACAGGAAGTGACCAGAGGTGCTGACAGGAAGTGACCACAGGTGCTGACAGGAAGTGACCACAGGTACTGACAGGAAGTGACCACAGGTGCTGACAGGAAGTGACCACAGGTGCTGACAGGAAGTGACCACAGGTGCTGACAGGAAGTGACCACAGGTACTGACAGCAGGTTGTCTACCCGTACACGCAGTTCAAAAGCAGGACTATGTGAGCCTCATCTTCCAAAAACGCGTGCTAATGGCGTCCAGCTGTGAGGATGGAGGGCTCGTTAATGGAGATAATTGAGAGTTGTTTCATCAGCGAGCCCGGTTATGTAGCCTGTGGCGGCTTTTTCAGATATTTGTGTGCAGAGAGTCAGAGGAAGTCAATGACGGCGTGAGTTAAGAGGATTACCTCATGTGGCGTGGAACAGTCGGAGAACAAACCGGCTGAAATGAAACACAAATCTGGACGGAGACATGAGGCCGGCAGGGCGAGCGAGCATCACTCAACCTGCAGAGAGAGAGAGAGAGAGAGAGAGAGACAGAGAGACAGAGAGAGACAGAGAGAGACAGAGAGAGAGGGAGAGAGAGAGAGAGGGAGACAGAGAGAGAGAGACAGAGAGAGAGAGAGACAGAGAGAGAGGGACAGAGAGAGAGTTAAACAGAGACAGAGAGAGACAGAGAGACAGAGAGAGACAGAGAGAGACAGAGAGAGAGGGAGAGAGAGAGAGAGGGAGACAGAGAGAGAGAGAGAGAGAGAGAGAGAGAGAGACAGAGAGAGAGAGAGAGAGAGAGGGACAGAGAGAGAGGGACAGAGAGAGAGTTAAACAGAGACAGAGAGAGAGAGAGAGAGAGAGAGAGAGAGAGAGAGGGACAGAGAGAGAGGGACAGAGAGAGAGTTAAACAGAGAGAGGGAGAGAGAGAGACAGAGAGAGAGAGAGAGCTGCAGGCTGCACCACCTGGCCTGCAGAATTAACCTGCATTCTTTAAAATGACCAGCAGGGGGCTAAGAGCGGTCTGATTGCGTATTTATCTTTGCATGCTAACTATCGTAGCACTTTTCTGTCTTTCTTGGATGGATGTTTTAAATCTTTATTTTTTGTCTTGTTACTTTTTCTTCATATTTGTGACCCGCAAACTATTTCAACACTGAATGCATAAGGGGCTCTGATTGAAACCTGCTTTTAAATGTCAAAAACGAACTTGAACACCAGGCTAGTGATGAAGGGACTGGACTTTAAATATGGATGGGCTTTGATTTGAAGTTTTATGCCAAGTTTAAAAAGACAGAAAGTATTAGCCTACACAGGACTTTCTAAGTTTGAGTTGACTTCTTGCAGCTCTGGAGAAAGATAATTAAAATGTCCAAAGTGAGAAATGAGGAGGTGAAACGGGATAAATAGAGTGAGTAGTAGAGTATGAAATAGAGAGAGGTAGAGGAGGGGAGGGAGGGAGGAAGATGAGGGGGGAGGATACATGAAGCCGGAGGGAGATGAAACAGATTTAGAGACAGAAAGCAGCCGGTGTTTAAACACAACAGTTCTTCCTCGGCAGCAGCAACAGCAGCAAACACCGCCTCCTCCTCCTCCTCCTCCTCCTTCATCATCTTCCCACCATCCATCCTCCGCCTCCTCCGCTCCGGTGCTCCTCTCCATGCCGGCGGAGATCTCGGTCTCCGCGGGGCTGCCATGGCGAAGATCCGGGTGTCGTACGAGTACTCCGAGGCCGAGGACAAGAGCATCCGGCTGGGCTTGTTCCTGATCGCCTGCGGGATCCTCAGCCTCTTCATCCTCGGCTTCTGCTGGCTCAGCCCGACCCTGCAGAGTCTGCAGAGCAAGCCGGCCAACTGCACGGTGAGCCCGGTCACGACATCCGAGGAGCTCCCGGTGTCTGCCGGAGCCCCGGAGCTGTAGTCGGTACTTTGTGTTGCCGGTTGTAGTTTATAAAGTGTGGCAGTTTGTTGGTGTTAAAGTACGAGTTTATAAATGTAGTACTGTTTTAGAAGAAGTTGAAACAGAAGCTAAATACTCCACTTTTATCTTTATGTTGAGCACTTTTACCGTTAACGGTCGTTTAACTTTTTATGGAAATTTACGTTTGTGTTTTGAATATTCGACTATTTTTTATCACCATGGTTACGAGTATTTTTCCAAGCGTTGCCATTTGTGTCCAACTTAGATTAGACCTACAGACATGTTGTTATGTGTGTCATTAAGAGCAAAAGGTAGTTTAAAAATAAGTAGGATTTGTTCCTTGATATGACGTTACATTACCTTACGATGCGATACATGACACGTTAAGTTAAGTTACGATATGTTACGATATGTTAAGTTACGATATGTTAAGTTACGTATATTACATGTTAATACGATATGTTAAGTTACGATGAAGTTAATATCTGCTGTCTGCTTTGGACTTGTGCACGGTGTAAATGTGTTTCTTTGTAGTTGCTCAGTAGCCTAACCGTTTTTGGTTTGTGACCAAACTTTGACCTCACAAAACTCTTGGCCAGAAATCCAAAAGACAAAAAGCTTTTTCATTTTTATTCTGATCAATTATTAGAAATTTGAGGGGATCCCATTTGGGGTCAGGACCCAAAGGTTGAGCCTGTAGTAGTCCGGTGGTTACTGGTCGTAGTTAATTTATCCCAAGTATTTTTTACATTGAGTGAAGTAATACTTAAATAAAAAATAAAGTTTCTTAAGATCTAAAAGATGTAGTCTACATCAGAATAACCTACTTTTCATTTTTAATCTTAGTTGGGGTATTTGTATTAGTGTTGCCCACTGGCTACTTCCTGTATTTTTTATAGAGGAAATTATAGCACCTAATTTACATTATAAAAATTAGATATCTGCATTAAATATAAGTGAAATACCAAACATGAAGTCTACAATAACATGTAAGGCGTGTGAGGGTTAAATGCAAAGAAACTGAGATAAGTGGAAAATTTATGAAATTACGGTAAATTAAGTATCAAAGCAAGAGGATTCAAAGTTATGGCGTTGCACTGAGCGGCGGCAGAAACCCGATGAGAACGTGTGATAACGTGTGTTAATCTCCTGCAGCCTCCTGTGCAGAATGAGGTGATGAATGAACCAATCAGTGACACACGATCAGTCGTATCAGTGACTGACAGACGACGAAGGTGATCACGCTGTTTGATCTGACGGGCCTGCTCGCACTCAGCCATCATCACCCGACGAACTGTCAGAGAAACTACACGTGGCTGTACTTTCCTTTTTTTTCATCATCTTTAGAGTCATCCATTTATATTCCTGCTGATTTATGGAAACTGTCGGAGGAGGTCAGGGCAGAGGAATGTGTGGTTAGTTGTTCATCGTCTCCAGAGGATGTACTGACTTTTGTGAACTTGCTGTTGAGGCAGTTTGTGGCACCAGCCAAGCAGCAGCTATAACTGGGGCAGATGCTGAAGTGTAAAATCCTGCTGTTCCTGGAGTGTCCAGTAGAGGCTGGCTGCAGAAGCACAGGAAGTCACATACACACCCATTCTAAAAAACCTGTTTTTACAGCAGAGATGAACATGTTTACAGCCTGGTTCAAAAAACCAAATAGGTGTGATTAGCTCATGTCTGGATGGACACACACTGTACGGGGGGTGAATGTTTTGATGACTCATCAGTTTTGATTTGATGAAGGATAAGAGTTATTCACAATAAGGTGTGTAGCTGACCTGATTGACAGGTGGGCGCGGTGTAACGGTTTGTCAGGAGGTTTAAAACCCGCCTCAGCTCCAGCTCTCAGCCTGTCGTTAGGTTGACTGAAAGTTAGACTGAGACAGCATTTCCAGCATGGAGACCGCATCGATGGGACTCCAGCGCCCCTGCAGGAACAGACGGGGGACGACACTCAGACCTCAAACATTCATATTAACAGCATGTGAAATACAGCAGCTTTGTCAGTGAGCATCAAAAGATGAAATAGTAGGTTCCCTGTCAGAGTCCTCTCTTGGTTGATGATCTCCAGCTGATTGTTTTGATCGAGTGAAGAAACTTTAGGTTACACACGAGAAACACCAGATGACTCAGGCTCCTTTTTTCTTTTCACATTAGAAGTGTTTTAAAGTGACATTCTGTTATTTTTTCTAACGACACTTACTGTACTAACCTCTAATTAAAGTAAACGAGGAGCCGTTAGCACCTCTCAGGGTTCTGTGAGAGTGTTGAGTCAGAGGGTCTCGTGTTCAGTTTATAATCTGCAGATTTAGGATCACAGGATGATTCTACGAGCATCTGAATCGATGCACACGTCCGTGATTGTATTTAGCGATTCATCAGGTTCTGATGTTCAGACTCCTCAGATGGAAAAATCTAAACAATCCAATCAGCTATCTCCTGTGTGAGAGCCCGGAGGGGGGAAAAACAGCAAAAGGAAGTCGACCACTGCGGATGAGATCTAAACTGCAGTTTCATTAAAAGCTTTTAAAGTGACAGAAACCTTAAGTCAGATGTTTAAGTGAGAGAATCCCCACTACCCTTCATACAGCTCTGTTTCCTTTTATGATCAAATATAAACGATGGCGGGTCAAAGCAGACTTCTCATGACGTCACTTCAGGACTGACAGAAAGTTAAAAAGCCTCTTTATTTTATGGCCTTTTTTTTTTTTTTTTTTTAACCAAATCTTCCTGGTCGTCGTTACAGAGCAGGTTCGTCAGCCTGCAGCACGCTCGCTTCCTTCAGTCTGCGTCTCTTTCCTCTGTGGTTATTCAAAGCGTTGGCACAGCCGACTTTCATGACATGAATCACAGGCCGCCATGCAGCCGGCCCCTCCTGGCAACGCTCTTTAGCATCGCTGATGAATTCTTCCCAGCTTGATTTATTTCTGCTGTTAGCTTATTGCATCGTCCTGGAATAATGTCTGCGCATTACAGAGAGTGGACGCCGTCTGCTTGTGTTCCTAAATCATCGGAGCTCACGAGGCGGTGTGAGAGCGCGCTCAGTCGTTCACTGACCCACAGGTTCACATCAGACTGTGACCTCCTGACTGATGAAGACATATCTCACTCCATCATGTTTATGTTCACGCCTGCAGCTCCGTCCTTTAATGAGCAGGGAAAACGAAGGATGGATTCACAATATCAACATTTAATGACTCAAACAAATGTGACATGAAGAAGAGAAACTGTAAAATGACTGGTTGCCAACATTATAGGCTGAAAACGTTCTGGCTTTTCGTTTACACGACAACAGCGTTTTGGGGGCCTGAAAATGTCAAGATTTGAAAAAGGTCCTAGAGTGCAAACGACACAACACAACATTTAAACTAGGCCCCTCCTCCTCCTGGGCTCATCACCCCCAGAAGCCCCGCCCACTGCAGGATGTAGTGTGTACGTTTACTGCTTGTAGCTATACTGGAAGCTAACACACACTAGCACAAGCTAACCGCCCGTGTTTGTCACCTTCCTGTCCAACAGGAAGTAGATCAACTCCACGTCCACGGGTAAAAGACAACACAAGGTTCACCCTCGTTTTAGAACGATCTTTATCCACTTGGTGTTTCTCCTCACTCTCATTATATTTTCTCTTCTTTGCTGCTACGTCTGCGTCTGTTTGAATCTCGTCCAATCACTGAATTGTATCCACTCCTAAACTCACCTGCTGCGCTGTCATTGGAGGAAACACACCAGCTCCGCCCACAAACGTCCCGAGTCAACCGTCACAAATCAGAACAGTAAAATCCAGTCAGAGGACAGAGTCTCTGCAGACACAGTCACCACCACACATGTACGGAGGCCCAGAAGGGACAATGGAGCAGCTTCACTTTAGGAGAAGATGTATTTTATTTTGAAGGAGAAGTCTTTCTTTTATTTTGAAGGAACCAGCCAGCTTCACTTTAGAAGAAGTCTTTCTTTTATTTTGAAGGAACCATGTATTTTCTCTCTGCAGGTGGTGTCGGTGTTGCGCCCCGAGGAGATGTTCGAGTGCGTGTTCACGTGCGGGACGGACTGTAAGGGGACGTCTCTCTATCCCTGCCTGCAGATCTTTGTCAACAACTCGGAGTCCAACTCTGTCGCTCTGCTGCACTTTGACGAGCAGCAGCTGGTCCTCAACCCAAAGGTACCAAAACACGCTCAACTCGCACGTGGTATCAGCAGGATGTGGCTCTTAAGTGACACTTAGTGGCAGCTGAATGGCACTACAACAACAACAACAACAACAAACATTTGTTATTAATATCTGCGTGTTTACATCTCGCCTGAGGAAATATAGAAATGTTGTTAAACTTCTTAAATGGTTTCCTGAGGACGATGAGATAAGTCAGAGTTTATAAAGCTGATTGTGGAAACACACAAAGATAACATGTCAGCGCAGCATCGATCTTATGAATTCAATGTTTTTCACGATGAACGTCAGCACGTTGTTTATTTATTTTCTGTGTGTGTGTGTGTGTTGTGTGTGTGTGTGTGTGTGTGTGTGTGTGTGTGTGTGCGTGCGTGCGTGCGTGCGTGCGTGCGCGTGCGTGCGTGCGTGCGTGCGTGCGTGCGTGCGTGCGTGCGTGCGTGCGTGCGTGCGTGCGTGTGTCTGTGTGTGTGTGTGTGTGTGTGTGTGTGTGTGTGTGTGTGTATCTTGTGTGTGTGTGTGTGTGTGTGTGTGTGTGTATCTGTGTGTGTGTGTGTGTGTGTGTGTGTGTGTGTGTGTGTGTGTGTATCTGTGTGTGTGTGTGTGTCTGTGTGTGTGTATCTGTGTGTGTGTGTGTGTGTGTCTGTTTGTCTGGTTTGAGTTCTAGTGAAGGACTTTTGATATTTTAGCGGTTCAGCTTCACGGGTTGATGCTCCAGTTTAAGTGAAATAAGTTTAGCTACATGATCAACGAAGTCGTGTTCACACTCTCTGAAGTGTTTTCAGTCTGAGTCTGAGCGTCATGTGATCACAAACATCTGAGCGTCATGTGATCACAAACATCTGAGCGTCATGTGATCACAAACATCTGAGCGTCATGTGATCACAAACATCTGAGCGTCATGTGATCACAAACATCTGAGCGT